AGGCTCTCTCGGTTGGACGGGGTGGGGGGGGGGGGGGGGGGGGCAGGGGGTGTTGCTGATCACTGTCAGATTCTCTCTGTGGGTCCGCGGGGGGTTAGTGGAAGGCTCTCTCGGTTGGGGGGGGGCAGGGGTGTTGCTGATCACTGTCAAGTTCTCTCTGTGGGTCCGGCGGGGGTTAGTGGAAGGCTCTCTCGGGTTGGGGGGGGGGGCAGCAGGGTGTTGCTGATCACTGTGCCCCCAGATTCTCTCTGCGGGTCCGCGGGGGGTTAGTAGAAGGCTCTCTCGGTTGGTGGGGGCAGGGGGTATTTCTGATCACTGTGCAATTCTGACTCCTCTGTGGGTCCGCGGTACTAACGGGGGTCTTGGGTAGTTGTTAGGCTCTCTCTCTGCCTGGGAGGGGGGCATCCAGGGTGGGACTGACCAACTAGTATGGGGCCCCCGGACAATAGGGGATCATGAGGCCCCTGTGTCCTTGCCCACACTCAAATCACACCCAAAAAGCCTATGAAAAGGTACCAGGAAATCTCATGGGCCCCCCTACTGACCCCGGTTCCCCCAATGGTCAGTCCCCACCCTGGGGGCATCTGATTTTTGTGTTGCCTAGGGCAGCTCAAAACCTAAATACACCACTGAATACATGCAGACAAGAAGAGGGTGCAAAGAGGCCGCAGCTGAGTTTAGCAGCGTTCTACAAAAGATGAAAAAAAAAAAAGCATTACTTTTGTAAAAGGGGAAATAAAAGGTCAGTTGTTCCTCGTACACAGCGCTTTAACAAACTAAATGCCACTCAGTTACAGACCGCGCTCTGCATACACCACGTATCCATCTCTCCATGTGGTCTAGTGACTTGCAGGTAAATATTTCCAGCATGGCTCCCCATCACACAGTGACCGCGTGAGTCATGGAGTGCGCCATAAAGGGAGATGAAAGGGAAGGGGCCCCACAGGCCCTGGGAGCAAACCTGCACTCCAATGAGTCACATCACTTACATGTACCTTCCAGCCGGAGAGCAGTCAGAGGGTGGCCGGACGTGGCTCGCAGGGATCCGTTGGCTCTCTCTTGCTGCCCTCGCTGGGGGCCATCGACTTTTTTTTTCTGGTATATTTGTGAAGTGTGATGTCATTTTGATGTCGGGGCGGCGGCAGGGAGGGAGTGTGCGGCACGATGAACTGAGGGGTCATTATCTGCCACACTGGGCGTACCAAAAATATAGACGAGGAGGAGGAACCACAAATCACCATAACATGGAGTCTGCATAGCATGCCTGGGATGGGATCTGAGCCTTGCAGTTCTTGAACAAATCCGTTTTCCTTCACCTGCTTTGGAATAATTTGTTTAGGTGCATTTTGACGCATTTTTTTTTCACCAGAAAAAAAATTTTTTGCTAAAAAAAAAAAAAAAAAAAAAAAAAAAAAAAACAACCAAAAATATCTGGTTTGTGGAGATTTACTGGATTTTTCTGTTGTAATCCTTTTTATGTCAACAATTTTATTTATTTCTGGTACTTATATAGCGCCGTCAATTTACATATAACATTGTCCATTCACATCAGTCCCCCGCCCCCTGATGGAATGTAAGGACAATCTATGGTCCCTAACTCACATTCATACATACACATACTAGGGACAATATAGACAGGAGCCAATTAACCTACCAGCATGTCTTTGCAGTGTGGGAGGAAACTGGAGTAGTACCCACACAGGCACAGGGAGAACATGCAAACTCCAGGCAGGTGGTGCCGTGGTTGGGATTCAAACCAACAACCCGAGTACTGCCAGGCGGAAGTGCTAACCATTTAGCCGCTGTGCTGCCCAGGTGTTAGAATGTTTTACAGCTAAAAAAAAACTCCTTGGGAGCCTGTGCACTCAACCCCTTTGGTGGACCATGGCGAGGACTGTTCTGAGGGAACCTGTCCTGTTACAAAACACCGCTGTATGGTCTTGGCCACCGTGCTGCAGCTCAGTTTCAGGGTCTTGGCAATCTTCTTACAGCCTCGGCCATCTTTATGTAGAGCACTTATGGTTAGCACTTCCGCCTGGCAGTACTCGGGTTGTTGGTTCAATATCCCAGCCATGGCCCCACCTGCTTGGAGTTTGCATGTTCTCCCTGTGCCTGCGTGAGTGTGTTTCCTCCCACACTCCAAAAATATGCTGGTAGGTTAATTGGTTCCTGTCTAAGTTGCCCCTAGTATGTGTATGTATGAATGTGAGTTAGGGACCCTAGATTGTACGCTCCTCGGGGGCGGGGACTGATGGGAATGTACAATATATACCACTGCATAAATTGATGGCGCTATAGAAGTACCTGAGATAAATAAATAAAAGCAAAAAGCAGCATTTTTGCTACAATAGAGTTCAATGGAGAATCTGCTGAAATGCGCGGTAGTGCGTTTTTGCATTTTTATTCTGCCCTACAAATAAAAAATTCCACTTTAAAAAAGGAGCGGAACAGAACGCAGTAAAAACGCATCAAAAACGCAAAACAAACTGCGAAACAGACAAAAAGCAAACTGCACAGGTGTGAAGGGAGCCTCAGAACAGATGGGGCCCCATAATGTGCCGTCCTACCAGCCGTCAGATGTGAGTGTGACAAGCGTGCTGTACAGTGAATGACCCCATGTCTGGGTGTCATGTAACAGAGCATGAAAACACATTCCCCAGGCTCTGCTCATCAGTGAGTGGCGGGAGGGGGGGGGGGGCTGTGACTCAGGAGTTGATGACAATGATTCAGAGAGCTGTCAGAGCCCCCCCTTGTCCTGTACAGGGGGGCACACTGCCTGCAGCTCGCTCCTCTATTGTCAGCTGACAGCCCCTTGTCACACAATCCAGTGCCATGAATAGGAATGAGGGGGTCCGGCTCTCCCTGTGGAAGAGGGAAAGGTCACGGAACAAAGCGACTTCCCAGAAATGGTGTCAGTGAAGATCCTGCTGACTCATGTTCATGTGTATCTGTGTGATATGTGAAGACAGCGGATCGTGATGACAGCCGGGCTGTACTGAGCAGTGACTGCGCATATCATACTCTGATCATCAATCCGCCCCGTACACAGGGATGAGACTATCGCCCGATGAGAATACACGATGAGGAATATCGCACCGATGATTGGGACTATCGCACCGATGAGAATATCGCACCGATGAGACTATCGCACCGATGAGAATATCGCACCGATGAGACTATCGCACCGATGAGAATATCGCACCGATGAGACTATCGCACCGATGAGACTATCGCACCGATGAGACTATCGCACCGATGAGAATATCGCACCGATGAGAATATCGCACCAGTGAGAATATCGCGCCAATGAGAATATCGCACCAATGAGAATATCGCACAATGAGAATATCGCGCCAGTGAGAATATCGCACCGATGAGAATATCGCACTAGTGAGCATATCGCGCCAGTGAGAATATCGCACAATGAGAATATGCACCAGTGAGAATATCGCACCAATGAGAATATCGCACCAGTGAGAATATAGCACCAGTGAGAATATCGCCAATGAAAATATCACCAGTGAGAATATCGCGCCAGTGAGAATATCGCACCAATGAGAATATCGCACCAATGAGAATATCGCACCAATGAGAAATTTGCACCAGTATCGCACCAATGAGAATATCGCACCAGTGAGAATATCGCGCCAATGAGAATATCGCACCAATGAGAATATCGCACCAATGAGAATATCGCGCCAGTGAGAATATCGCACCAATGAGAATATCGCACCAGTGAGAATATCGCGCCAATGAGAATATCGCACCAATGAGAATATCGCACCAATGAGAATATCGCGCCAGTGAGAATATCGCACCAGTGAGAATATCGCGCCAGTGAGAATATCGCACCAATGAGAATATCGCACCAGTGAGAATATCGCACCAATGAGAATATCGCACCAGTGAGAATATAGCACCAGTGAGAATATCACGCCAATGAGAATATCACACCAGTGAGAATATCGCGCCAGTGAGAATATCGCACCAATGAGATCGCACCAATATCGCACCAATGAGAATATTGCACCAGTGAGAATATCGCACCAATGAGAATATCACGCCAATGAGAATATCGCACCAGTGAGAATATCGCACCAATGAGAATATCGCACCAGTGAGAATATAGCACCAATGAGAATATCACGCCAATGAGAATATCGCACCAGTGAGAATATCGCGAGAGAATATCGCACCAATGAGAATATCGCACCAGTGAGAATATCGCACCGAATATGGCACCAATGAGAATATCGCACCAATGAGAATATCGCACTGATGAGAATATCGCACCGATGAGACTATCGCTCCGATGAGAATATCGCACCAGTGAGAATATCGCACCAATGAGAATATCGCGCCAATGAGAATATCGCGCCAATGAGAATATCGCACCGATGAGAATATCGCACCATGAGAATATCGCACCATGAGAATATCGCACCGATGAGAATATCGCGGGGGGCCAATGAGAATATCGCACCACTGAGAATATCACACCACTGAGAATATCGCACCAATGATCGTCCGGGGTTTTTGCATGCTAGTCTCATATCGAAAATTAAGAAGTTACTAAAGTTACAAAAATTCTTGTACAACAGAATAAACAATCAGAAGTGATGTCGTGTATTAAATTGTATTTTTGAATGACAACTGTACTGATTAAAACAAAAATCATGCGATCCGGTGTCATAGGAGAAAAAGTTTTCACGCATGTCCCTTCGAATAATTTCAGATGAAAGCCGTGTACTAACGATCAAATTATCGCAAGATCGCTTCATGTTTTTCGTACGATTTTCTGATGGTGTGTAGTAGGGCTCTAGATGTCCATAAACACAACCAATCCATGGAAAAATCTATAAAAATATAGAATAGCAAAACTACAAACCATATCCCCTCCTCAGTCCATCATGAATGCTGCTGCCAGACTCATCCACCTCACTAACCGTTCTGTATCTGACACCCCTCTCTGCCAATCCCTCCACTGACCTCCACTCAGTGTCCTCCACCCCTCTCTGCCAATCCCACCACTGGCCTCCACTCAGTGTCCTCCACCCCTCTCTGCCAATCCCTCCACTGGCCTCCACTCAGTGTCCTCCACCCTTCTCTGCCAATCCTTCCACTGACCTCCACTCAGTGTCCTCCACCCCTCTCTGCCAATCCCTCCACTGGCCTCCACTCAGTGTCCTCCACCCTTCTCTGCCAATCCTTCCACTGACCTCCACTCAGTGTCCTCCACCCCTCTCTGCCAATCCCTCCACTGACCTCCACTCAGTGTCCTCCACCCCTCTCTGCCAATCCCACCACTGGCCTCCACTCAGTGTCCTCCACCCCTCTCTGCCAATCCCTCCACTGGCCTCCACTCAGTGTCCTCCACCCTTCTCTGCCAATCCTTCCACTGACCTCCACTCAGTGTCCTCCACCCCTCTCTGCCAATCCCTCCACTGACCTCCACTCAGTGTCCTCCACCCCTCTCTGCCAATCCTTCCACTGACCTCCACTCAGTGTCCTCCACCCCTCTCTGCCAATCCCACCACTGACCTCCACTCAGTGTCCTCCACCCCTCTCTGCCAATCCCTCCACTGACCTCCACTCAGTGTCCTCCAACCCTCTCTGCCAATCCTTCCACTGACCTCCACTCAGTGTCCTCCACCCCTCTCTGCCAATCCCACCACTGACCTCCACTCAGTGTCCTCCCATCCCCCCTCTCTGCCAATCCCTCCACTGACCTCCACTCAGTGTCCTCCACCCCTCTTTGCCAATCCCTCCACTGACCTCCACTCAGTGTCCTCCACGCCTCTCTGCCAATCCCTCCACTGACCTCCACTCAGTGTCCTCCACCCCTCTCTGCCAATCCCACCACTGACCTCCACTCAGTGTCCTCCACCCCTCTCTGCCAATCCCACCCACTGGCCTCCACTCAGTGTCCTCCACCCCTCTCTGCCAATCCCTCCACTGGCCTCCACTCAGTGTCCTCCACCCTTCTCTGCCAATCCTTCCACTGACCTCCACTCAGTGTCCTCCACCCCTCTCTGCCAATCCCTCCACTGACCTCCACTCAGTGTCCTCCACCCCTCTCTGCCAATCCCACCACTGACCTCCACTCAGTGTCCTCCACCCCTCTCTGCCAATCCCTCCACTGACCTCCACTCAGTGTCCTCCACCCCTCTCTGCCAATCCTTCCACTGACCTCCACTCAGTGTCCTCCACCCCTCTCTGCCAATCCCCCACTGACCTCCACTCAGTGTCCTCCACCCCTCTCTGCCAATCCCTCCACTGACCTCCACTCAGTGTCCCCCATCCCTCTCTGCCAATCCCTCCACTGGCCTCCACTCTGTGTCCCCCATCCCTCTCTGCCAATCCCTCCACTGGCCTCCACTCAGTGTCCCCCATCCCTCTCTGCCAATCCCTCCACTGACCTCCACTCTGTGTCCCCCATCCCTCTCTGCCAATCCCTCCACTGGCCTCCACTCTCCCCATCCCTCTCTGCCAATCCCTCCACTGACCTCCACTCTGTGTCCCCCATCCCTCTCTGCCAATCCCTCCACTGGCCTCCACTCTGTGTCCCCCATCCCTCTCTGCCAATCCAGTGTCCTCCATCCCTCTCTGCCAATCCCTCCACTGACCTCCACTCAGTGTCCTCCATCCCCTCTGCCAATCCCTCCACTTACCTCCACTCAGTGTCCTCCACCCCTCTTTGCCAATCCCTGCACTGGCTTCCCATTGCCCAATGAATAAAATTCAAAACATTAACAACATATAAAGCCGTTTATAACTCCCCCAAATTACATCACCAATCTTGTCTCCAAATATTACCAAAACCATCTTCTCCGCTCCTCCCATAACCTCCTGCTCTCTAGCTCCCCTGTCTCCTCCTCCCATGCTTGCCTCCAGGACTTCTTCAGCGTCTCCCCCATCCTCTGGAACTCTCTATCTTAATCTATCAGACTATCGCCTACTCTGCTCACTTTTAGGCGATCTCTGAACTCCTCTCTCTTCAGAGAAGCCTATCCTGCCCTCAGCTAACAATGGAATCTTCTACTCTTCCTACCAGTCCATCCCCCACAGTTACTACCTTTTGTACCACTAGCCCCTCCCTTCTAGATTGTAAGCTCCAAGGAGCAGGGCCCTCCTAACCCTCTTGTATTCAACTGTATTGAGGACTTAATATACAACACTAATGGTAATAGGTAATCTGTTGCAGCCAATCAGAAATAACCTCTCAAACTGGTCAAATCAGACTAATTCAAACTGATTTCTGATTGGCAGCTGGGGAGGAGGGGCAGGGGTCACTGCTCTCTGCTGTTTATAAACAAAGTCATGTGGTTAATGTATATATAACAACAGAAACAAAAACAACAATAAATGTTTGTAAAATCTAAGATAAATATTCTGTATAAAGTCTAGAAATCATAATCAGCCCTTATACCTATCGGACGTACACACAGCATGCAGATCTTTACTGTCACTGCTCTCTGTTTATAAACAAAGTCATGTGCGATTAATGTATATATAACAACAGAAACAAAAACAACAACAAATGTTTATAAAATCTAAAATAAATATTCTGTATAAAGTCTAGAATCGACAATCGGCCCCTATACCGCCTGCAGACATCCCGCCACCACCTAACGGACGTACACATAGCATGCAGATCTTTACTGTTACTGCTCTCTGCTGTTTATAAACAAAGTCATGTGGTTAATGTATATAACAGAAACAAAAACAACAAATGTTTATAAAATATAAAATAAATATTCCATATATAGTCTAGAAACAACAACCGGCCCCTATACCGCCTGCAGACATCCCGCCGCCTCCTAACGGACGTACACACAGCATGCAGATCTTTACTGTCACTGCTCTCTGTTTATAAACAAAGTCATGTGGTTAATGTATATATAACAGAAACAAAAACAACAAATGTTTATAAAATATAAAATAAATATTCCATATATAGTCTAGAAACAACAACCGGCCCCTATACCGCCTGCAGACATCCCGACACCTCCTAACGGACGTACACACAGCATGCAGATCTTTACTGTCACTGCTCTCTGTTTATAAACAAAGTCATGTGGTTAATGTATATAACAACAAAAACAAAAACAACAAATGTTTATAAAATCAAAAATAAATATTCTGTATAAAGTCTAGAAACGACAACCGGCCCCTATACCGCCTGCAGACATCCCGCCACCTCCTATCGGACGTACACACAGCATGCAGATCTTACTTTCTTATACTGATTGAAGGAAATTTTACTCCCGTTCCGTTCCGGCACCCAAAATCTCAAGCTTGCGGGCATTGCACGCAGGCCGGGGCCAGTGTGGAGAGATGAGAGAGGAGAGTGCGGCTGTGGGGGGGCCCCCGGCTCTGTAGGGCAGTGTTATGTGTCAGGCTACTCGGGGTAATTTTAGCCTCGGAGCCATCGGATTTCATTACAGGGCAGGTTTCTCGCAGATTGGACTCAGCGGAGAGCGGATCCTCCCTACTGGATTCTCTGCCAACTTCAAAGATCCTTGGCGGGACTTCACAAAGTTTGAATACCATCTCTTCCCGTCCCACGTTATCTCACCATTTAAAGGGAGAGTAGCTTTAGACATGGAAAAAAAAAAATGGATGAGCATGTAAACCCAAGAAGGAAAATGGAATATTTTATAGCATGCCTGCCTTCCATGTGGTGGCTGCATTTGTTTTATTTTTTTTTCAGGCTTTTTGCTATCATATGTTTACCCGGTGACCCGGCTAGTAACACGTCTTGTTCTAGGGTGACAACACATACAGCTGGATTTATACTGAGATCACATGACACACAGGGGGACTTTATTTACTAATTAGGTGACTTCTGAAGGAAATTGGTTCCACTAGATTTTAGTTAGGGGTATCAGAGTAAAGGGGGCTGAATACAAATGCCGCCACACTTTTCAGATATTTATTTGTAAAAAAATTTTAAACACACCATTTATCATTTTCCTTCCACTTCACAATTATTAGTTATTATTTATTTATTTCTGTTACTTCTATAGCACCGTCAATTTACGCCGTGCTTTACATATTATTACATCGGGTTTATATAGCGCCAAAGGGTTTGCTCAGCGCTGTACAATAGGGGGGACAATACATGGCACAGTACAACAATAACAAACAACGTACGAGGGCCCTACTCTTTCGAGCTTACAATCTAGGAGGGAGGGGGTAGTGGTACAGGAGGAAGTGGTTGAGGGTAATGAGGGGTGGGAGGAATGAGGGAGAATGGCCGTTAGGTGAGGGTGGGGTAGGCTTCCCTGAAGAGATGGGTTTTGAGGGAGCGCCTGAATGTGAGGAGGGAAGGCGACAGTCGGATGGACTGGGGCAGTGAGTTCCAGAGGATAGGGGAGGACCTGGAGAAGTCTTGTAGTCGTGCGTGGGAGGAGGAGACCAGGGTAGAAGGAGGTCCTGTGAGGAGCGAAGGGTACGGGGTAGGGCGCTACTTGGGGATCAGGTTGGTGAGGGTAGTCGGCTTTGTAGGTCAGGGTTAGAAGTTTAAATTTGATCCGTTGGGCAATCGGGAGCCAGTGGAGGGAGAGGCAGAGGGGGGTGGCAGAGGTGGAGCGGTTGGTGAGGTGGAGGAGTCTGGCCGCTGAGTTCAGGATGGTCTGAAGCGGGGATAGCCTGTACTGGGGTAGGCCGGTGAGGAGGGAGTTGCAGTAGTCAAGGCGTGAGATAATCAGGGAGTGTACGAGTAGTTTAGTGGTGTCTGGGGTAAGGAAGGTACGTATCTTGGCGATGTTGCGGAGGTGGAGCCTGCATGTGTTTGTAAGTGACATATATATATTGTACATTCACATTAGTCCCCACCCCTGAGAAGCGTACAATCTAAGGTCCCTAACTCACATTCATATACTAGGGACAATTTAGACAATTTAGACAGGATCCAATTAATCTACAAGAATGTCTTTGGCGTGTAGGAGCAAACCCACGCAGGCACAGGGAGAACATGCAAACACCAGGCAGGTGGTGCCATGGCTGGGATTCGAACCAACGACCCGAGTACTGCCAGGTGGAAGTGCTAACCATTTAGCCACTGTGCCACTTTGTGTTGATCCATCACATCAAATCCCAATAAAATACATTGACGTTTTTTGTTGTAACATGGGGAACATTTCCTGTCTACAAGGGAATCTCCAATGCATTGGATAGATATCTTTTCACTTCCTATTGCGTTTACAGGACAGGAAGTGAAGGGAAATCTGACACAGATGGGAAAAAAAAAAATCCAAAGAACTGATAAGAGCCTCTACAGGAAGGACAATACTGAGGCTGCCGGTAGTTTGCTGACAAACAGGACAGAAGGGGGCAGTATTTCCGCGTCAGGCAGTCAATCTGGTGCACGCCGACATCCCGCGTGTGTGTGAACCGGCAGCGAGGAATGAAGACGAAGCGCCCGGCTTTCTTGACAACAATTAAGCGATTCCATTCTGAGACCTGTTAAACGTAATGTAATAAGCCGCTGATTTGCCATCTGTTGAACAGATGCTCTGCTTATTACAGTCTGTCGTCCTCCATCGTTCAGAAATCTGATTTGCGCAGTATGAATCTTCAAGGTGAAAATGTGATATAAAGAGGAGATCCGGAACCGGCGAGCTGAAAATATTCAACGGAACGCAACGCCATGCGCTGCTGCACACTAATGCTGAAGTTTCAGCTGCCTATAGTTTGCTTCCCCTGTGCCCCCCCCCCCCCCCCCCCCACACACACACCCCCACCCACACACTCTCATCAGCAGCTAAGGAAATGTTTAAATAAAATCTTTTAGTTTTTGTTGCACATCTTATTTTAGATCCTGTGATGTCATCACCTGGTCTCTGTGCTTCTCTATCCAATGCAGGCAGATCATGGCTGGTGGAAGGTGCCGACAGGGTGCTTTGCCTTGATCTAAGCAGTGGGATAAGTTATGCGAATATCAAATTTGCCTTGATGGGAGGGTGTGACTCTGGAGGAGTGGGCATTCTGAGGCAGGGTGCATTGGCTCGCTGACCACTCTAGGTAACATCCACATGTGATTCTGAGCCTCCATGATTGAAAGAGCTGAAATCCAATGAATAAAAGGGGTGGGGACAAGAAGTGAGGCTGGGGAGGACAGGGCTAGATGACACTGGATGTCCACCAGCCAGGAAATGAGGCAGATCTCCATATGACTTGCTGCAGCTTCTACTGCACATGGTGAGAAGTTCACAGTGTGCAGTGACAACAGAGGAAGACGTTTCAGTCCAGGGGAGGAGCCGGTACACCTGTGCAAGACTGAAGGGGAGGAGCCGGTACACCTGTGCAAGACTGAAGGGGAGGAGCCGGTACACCTGTGCAAGACTGAAGGGGAGGAGCCGGTACACCTGTGCAAGACTGAAGGGGAGGAGCCGGTACACCTGTGCAAGACTGAAGGGGAGGAGCCGGTACACCTGTGCAAGACTGAAGGGGAGGAGCCGGTACACCTGTGCAAGACTGAAGGGGAGGAGCCGGTACACCTGTGCAAGACTGAAGGGGAGGAGCCGGTACACCTGTGCAAGACTGAAGGGGAGGAGCCGGTACACCTGTGCAAGACTGAAGGGGAGGAGCCGGTACACCTGTGCAAGACTGAAGGGGAGGAGCCGGTACACCTGTGCAAGACTGAAGGGGAGGAGCCGGTACACCTGTGCAAGACTGAAGGGGAGGAGCCGGTACACCTGTGCAAGACTGAAGGGGAGGAGCCGGTACACCTGTGCAAGACTGAAGGGGAGGAGCCGGTAAAACTGTGCAAGACTGAAGAGGGAGCCAGTACACCTGTGCAATACTAAAGGGGAGGAGCCGGTACGCCTGTGCAAGACTGAAGGGGAGGAGCCGACAACTGTGTAAGCCTGAAAGGGAGGATCCGTACACCTGTGCAAGACTGGAGGGGAGGAGTCGGAACCATGGTGCATGACTGAAGGGGAGGGGCTGGTACAACAGGGCAAGACTAAAGGGGAGGAGCTGGTATAACTGTGCAAAAATGAGGGGCAGTTACTGGAACCAATCCCCTGTATGGCTGTCTCTGCAGGAACTGAAAGCCAGTGGGAGCGAGAGAAGCAGAAGCCGGCTTTTAGCTGCTGCAGGGAGAGCCATACAGGGGATCGGTTCTAGTAATTCTCCCGTCGTACCGATCACCCTCCCTTCCCACATCCGAATCACCCAGCTCCCCTACAGGAGGACAGGTGATACCCCCTTATCCATAGCCTTCAGGATGTCCTGTCGGAGGTGTTGCGGAGGGGGGGGCCTGGGCAGCAGGGGGGGAAACGATTGCTGGAACCGATCCCCTGTATGGTTCTCTCTGCAGCAGCTGAAAGCCAGTGGGAGGGAGGGAGAAGAAGCTGGCTTTCAGCTGCTGCAGGGAGAGCCATACCGGGGACCGGTTCCAATAATTGCCCCCCTGCCGTGCCCACGTTCGATTCACCCAGCCCCCCTACAGGAGGAATGGTGGTACCCCCTTATCCACAGCCTCCAGAACGCCTTGTTATCCGCCACAGATGAGGTCACATACCTTCCCCCTTGTAAAGGAAGATGAAGCAAGGTGAATTCCTGTGTAAACATCCTAAGAGGCCACTCTGGAAGCCCTCAGAATTAATCCTGGAAATGGAGTGTTTGAACCTTTATTGGCGGTAGCAGCCGGAGAAGAGCCCATGGTAGTCAACATGAGAAGTCTTTAGTAATGTTTGGCTGATCAAAGGCAGATTATATCAAAGGCCAGAGCCTGACACCAAAGATTCCACTCAGACAAGCAGGACCCGGGGAAGAAGAAGAAGAAGGAAAAGATCCCGATTAACACTTTCACCGCCAGCGCAGTGCGTCTTCCTTCAGTTCCCGATGGGCTCCAAGTCTCAGGGTGCATGCTAGGACTTGTAGTCCCTCAATGGATAAAGGTCCGCTAGCCGCTCTCTGATCTGATCTGAGCGCCACTTCAAAGGGAAATGATTAGGCTGCGCGATTAAAATATTATTGGAGGATTAGAGAGCTCAAGTCTGAACTTGTTTGTATCAAGAAGTGTTTTATATCAAAGGACTTTGCCACCAAAAAAAAAGCTACTTTAGGCGAGCGGCCGAAAATATTCAGTAACTGCGCCAACTCTGGCTGCTGCGCCATGTGAAACGAGGCGCCATGGTTAGGGGCAGGGGCGGACTGACAACTCATGGGGCCCCCGGGCAATAGGGGATCATGGGGCCCGTGTGTCCTCGCCCAAACTCAAAAAAGCCTATGAAAAAGGTACCAGGGGCATCTCATGGGGCGGACTGACAACTCATGGGGCCCCCGGGCAATAGGGGGATCATGGGGCCCCTGTGTCCTTGCCCAAACTCAAAAAAGCCTATGAAAAAGGTACCAGGGGCATCTCATGGGGCGGACTAACAACTCATGGGGCCCCCGGGCAATAGGGGGATCATGGGGCCCCTGTGTCCTTGCCCAAACTCAAAAAAGGCTATGAAAAAGGTACCAGGGGCATCTCATGGGGCCCCCTACTGACCCCGGGCTCTGCCTGAGTATCCAAATGGTCAGTCCGCCCCTGGTTAGGGGGGAGTCCCCACAGGTGCTGGATGGAGAACAGGAAACCCGTGGCCTGTGCTCTGCCTACACTAAAGCAGGCCATACACGGGTTGAGTGCCAAACGATTTTTGAAAACGTCGTTCGTTCCGTAATCCGATGGTGCCACCAATGATTTCGAAAAATCGGTCATTTTTCACAAATTTTCCAGCATGCAGATAAGAAAAAATGGGGAGGAACCACAAAAATTGGCCGGTGCCATTGCCCCACTAACAGAGTGAAAAATCGGCCGATTATTTATAGGTCCGATTTTCAAATGAAAAAAATCATTTGGAAAAATCGACCCATATACGGCCGCCCTAAGAGACAGTTCACACTACGTGCCTGTCAGTTGCTTTTTTCTGCATCTAAAACGCACAGAAAGTAGGTGATCTGGTTGTCAGTGTCATAGTTCACGTCAGTGCTTGCAGTTCCGGTTGCAGAAATAAAAGTAGAACGGGCTGCATTTTTCCTGCACAGAACTGTACTGAAACGTGGTAAAAACGCATCAAAAATGCCCTGGAATGCGTTGGAACGCACCAAAATGCACATGTCCCTATTTAAATTGAAGAAAAAGAGGGAAAAAATGGAACAGAAAGCATCAAAAACACACCCGGAAAGCATCTGGACTGCGTTTCTATAGTGTGAACCGACCCTAAGGGCCAATTCACACCACATGCAGTCCAGTGCATCAAAAATGCATGGAAAGTAGGTTGTATGGTTCCCAATGACATCGTTCACACCAGCGCAGTCAGTTTCAATGCGTTCCAGATAATTAAAAAAAAAAGTAAAGCAGGCTGCATTTTTCCTGCACATAACTGTATTGAAACGCATCAAAAACGTCCTGGAATGCACATTTATTTATTTCAGGTACTTATATAGGGCGGTCAATTTACGTAGCACTTTACATATATATTGTACATTCACATCAGTCCCCGCCCCCGAGGAGCCTACAATCTAAGGTCCCTAACTCACAGTCATACATACACATACTAGGGACAATGCGGACAGGAGCCAAGTCACCTCCCAGCATGTCTTTGGAGAGTGGGAGGAAACCGGAGAACCCGGAGGAAACCCAATCAGGCACAGGGAGAACATGCAAACTCCAGGCAGGTGTTGTGGTTGGGATTTGAACCAACAACCCCAGTACTGCCAGGCGGAAGTCCTAACCATTTAGCCGCTGTGCTGCCTACATCAATGTGATCGATCGACTACACTTTGGAATCCATTTTTTTTTTTTTTTTTTTTTAAAAAAGAGATCACAAAGCAATCGAAAAGTATAAAATGCTGGCGTTGATAACGCCCAAAAACTTTGACATCATCATCTATGAATGACACCCCCATGGCATAGAAAAGCTGCGACTGATCAACCCTCCCGGATCTGACCCATCCCTGAGTGGTAGGGAGCTCCCTGTGTAGGGAGCTCCCTGCTCTACTTTGTATCATTGTGGATCAGGGGCGGACTGACAACTCATGGGGCCCCCAGGCAATAGGGGATCATGGGGCCCGTGTCCTTGCCCAAACTCAAAAAAGCCTATGAAAAAGGTACCAGGGGCATCTCATGGGGCCCCCTACTGACCCCGGGCCCTCGGGCAGTGCCAGAGTTTCCAAATGGTCAGTCCGCCCCTGTTGTGGATCAATAACTATTCTTTGAAGTCTATATAGGAAATGGGATTGTAACATTGACTGCAGGAAACAATCCACCATTCCCCTATTCCTTATCAATGCAAAGCAGGAAGCTGTAAATGCCCCGCCGGGGCAAAGTGCAGGGCTCAACGAACTGTTTAGTACCTTTATTTGCTCACCTAGACATCTTTCCTGTGACCCCCGCCCCCCCCCCCCCAGACCAGGGTTGACACCCGCAAGTAAATTTACAGTTTGCAAAAATCAGTGATTTTTACAATTTGTCACACTATACTGTGTTGACCATTGTAAGTGTAGCACCCAGGGGTGTATGTACCACAAGGCAAACAGGGCATTTGCCTAGGGCGGCAATTTTCAGGGGGCGCAGCACTGCCCCTCAGAAGAAGGGAAACACGCGGCATGGGGACCTGGTGGGTTCAGAGGGATGCTGGGGTTTTCATGATGGTGTATGTAGAGCCCGACGTTCGTTCCTGGGGATGTCCGGAGCTGTGAAGGGGAGTGTCTTTCTCTGTCTCGCCGTGGCGGATGGTGGCTGGTGTATGGGGGGGCAGTGGTAGTGGAAGGCTCCCTCGGAGGGAGGGGTTTAGGGGTGCTGTTGGTCAATGTCGGGCTCTCTCTGCAGGAAGGGGGGGGTGCCAATTTTTGTGTTGCCTAGGGCGGCACAAAACCTAAATACAACACTGGTAACACCCCGGTGACATTGAACCGGACTTTGAAATCGCGTGACTTACCGTGAAGTCGCACGATTTCAAAGTCGGATGACATGTTGATTTCAGGTGCGATTTGCAAGACATCTGACACCGATGTCTATGCAAACCGCACCGAAAGTAGCGCATGCAGAAATGGGTGCGACTCCGACCAAGTCAGAGCCGCACCGATATGACCGCTGTAATTAGGGACAATAGGGTGCGACTTGCGGGTGTTTTTGCCTTGAAGTCAACGGAACACGATTTTGCATTGAAGTCTAAGGGACACGATTTTGCATTGAAGTCTAAGGGACACGATTTTGCATTGAAGTCTATGGGAGGGGGCGCGCTTTTGCGTTGAAGTCTATGGGACACGATTTTGCATTGAGGTCTGTGAGACACAATTGTGCATTGAAGTCTATGGGGCACAATTCTGCATTGATGTCTTTGGGCGCAATTTTGCATTGAAGTCAATGGGGCATAGCTCCTTTTCTTTTTTTTTTCTGTTGGCAAAATGTCAATAATCCTATTTTTGGCCGATCTATGGATGCATCCCTAATTTGGACTGTGTATGTAGTGCTTTGTCTGGAGTTTTAACTAGAGTAAGATCAGGTGAGGAACATGAATTAACCAATACATGCAAGCCGACCCACATGGAAGAAAAATATATTTGAAATGTACTTGAAAAATATTCTTCCCAAAATATATTGAAATGCTACAATTTTTTTAAAAATATATATATATTTTTTAAATATATTCTTCAGATTTTTTTTTAACATATGAAAAAGTCATTTTAACATCTATTTTTACATATATCTGTA